CACAGAGGGTCCAGAGAGGGCCCTGATGAGCCCGTCTGCAGGGCGGCCATGGGGACACAGACACAGAGGACAGACTTACGGACACCGGGGTGGGGGTGGGGCAAACCAAGAGCGCAGCACAGGAACACACACACTACCGTATGTAAGACAGACTCAGGGAATTCAAACCAGGGCTCTGTGACAACCTAGAGGAGTGGGGGGTGGCAAGGGGGAGGGACGTTCAAGAGGGAGGGGACATCTGTATACCTATGGCTGATTCATGATGATGTATGGCAGAAATTAACACCATATTGTAAAGTAATTATCTTTCAATTAAAAAATAAAGAAAAATAATAAATAAAATCTAAATCAAGAGCTCAAAATGATGACACTATTCATCGTTAAAATTATTTTTTACCTTTATAAAAAGTTTCAGGCTGAATAAAGGAACAAATTTTTAAAAAGAAAAAAATATATATATATATATAAACATTTTTGAACTGTGGTGTAGGAGAAGACTCTTGAGAGTCCCTTGGACTGCAAGGAGATCCAACCAGTCCATCCTGAAGGAGATCAGTCCTGGGTGTTCATTGGAAGGACTGATACTGACGCTGAAACTCCAATACTTTGGCCACCTGATGTGAAGAGTTGACTCACTGGAAAAGACCCTGATGCTGGGAAAGATTGAAGGCAGGAGGAGAAGGGGACGACAGAGGATGAGATGGTTGGATGGCATCACTGATTCAATGGACATGAGTTTGGGTAAACTCTGGGAGCTGGTGATGGACAGGGAGGCCTGGCATGCTGCAGTCCATGGGGTTGCAAAGAGTTGGACACAACTGAACAACTGAACAATTAACTAATATAAACACACATATACCTACAGGATCACTCAGTATGGTAATCTGCCACATAAATGACATTTTCACATGCATTTTTTTCATGTCTTTCTCACAACTACTTTGTGAAGAAAGGATTACAGATGAGAGAACAGAATCCCGAAGGAGTTAAGGAACTCACAGCATAATATATGGTAATACCAGACCTCAAATCCACATTTCCTGACAGGTGCACGCTCTTTCTCCCTCTGCTCCAATGAGGTGCTTTATTGGGTATATATACACACAGACCAAATCTTCACTTTGGAATTAAAGATCAACAGTCTAAATAAATGTGCTCAGTCACTCAGTCATCCTGACTCTGCAGCCTCATTGACTGAAGCCCGCCAGGTTCCTCTGTCCATGGGACTCTCCAGGCAAGATTACTGGAGCAGTTTGCCATTTCCTACTACAGGGGATCTTCCTGACCCAGGGATCAAACCCATGTCTCTTGAGCCTCCTGCATTGGCAGGTGGATTCTTTACCACTAGCGCCACCTGGGAAGCCCCCTAAACGTGTATACACTACTCTACACAAAATAATTAACAAGGACCCAGTGTGCAGAACAGGGAACTCTACTCAATCCTCTGTAACGACCTAGATGGGGAAAGAATGGAAGAGGAATAGATATATGTATATGTATAAGTAAATCACTTTGCTGTACATCTGAACCTAATACAACACTGTAAATCAACTATTTGTTATTCAGTTACTCCGGTGCATCCGACTCTGTGACCCCGTGAACTGCAGCACGCCAGGTTTCACTATCCTTCACCATCTCCTAGAGCTTGCTCAAACTCATGTCCACTGATTAAGTGATGCCATCCTACCATCTCAACCTCTGTCGTCTCCTTCTCCTCCTGCCTTCTATCTTTCCCAGCATCAGGGTCTTTCCCAAGGAGTCGGCTCTTTGCATCAGGTGGCCAAAGTATCAGAGCTTCAGCTTCAGCATCAGTCTTTCCAATGAATATTCAGGGTTGACTTCCTTTATGATCGACTGGTTTGATCTCCTTGCAGTCCAAGGGACTCTCAAAAGTCTTCTCCAACACCACAGTTTGAAAGCACCAATATAAAATAAAAATAAAGGAAAAAAAAGAACTCTCCTCTTACATTTGCTAACATTCTGGGGAGAAAAAAATCCGTCATCTATTAGGCAGAACCACATGAAACCGCCAAGGCTGAAATGCTTCTGACCCACAGAAATACCGATTTCACTTGGCTTGTCCTAATGCATCTCCGAATTGCTGGGCGCTGAGCTAGTTTGGGTAAAGGTAGCCTCTCGGTGAAAAGAAACTGACCTTTCTAAGAAGGAAGTGAGTGAAATGAGCATTCTTCACTATCCAATAAGCAGCACACAGCTTTTCAAAGGAGGGCTACCAAATGTCACGCTCCAGGGGACCCCAAAGCTCCCTGTTGGCCAGAGAAAGCCATGTCCTTCTGGAAGAGCGCTGGGCTCTCGGATGGGACGGCTCAGCGGCACCACCGCGGGCTACTTGCAGAAAGAACTACGAACTGGTAGAAGACTGCTCTCAAACACCCCCTCCTCACCCCCACGCCCCACCCCGGGCCCTGGGTCTGCCCTCACCATGGGAACTTCTGGGAACACCAGAGCTACTTCCCAGGTGGTGGCAAGGGGCGGAAACAGGGCATCGTTTTGAAGTCCTGTTTGCCTCTTCCTCCGTCGGGCTGGTGCATGTCCTTCCACACAGATGCATCTTGGGGGGAAGAGCAGGGGGAGGGTGGCATTTCCTCCCCCTGCAGAAAGGAATTGGGGCAGGGGGAGGAGGGAGTGGCGAAGCAGAATTCAGAGGAAAAGCTGTGTCTGGGGGAAGCGGTGGCGCTGATACAGAATGACCCATTTAAAGGGCCATGTGAGGCGGCCCTGGGCTCCCAGGTGCTCAGCAGACAGAGGCACGCACCCTGTGTGTAAACACACTTACCGCTCCCAACCCCCCCCCCCCCACACACACCCTCACATGGCCTTTCCAGCCTCTGCGGCAGTTCTTTCTCTCTCAGGGTACAAATGGGACTTTGGTGCAAAGAGAGAGAATGGTGTTGAGGAGCAGGACAGCTGACAGTAGCAATGATGAAGAAATGGAGGAGAGTTCCCGGTGGTCAAGTGGTTAAGACTCCGTTGCAGGTGGCACGGATTTGATTCCTGGTCCGGGAACTAAGACCCCACATGCCTGGCAGTGCGGGAAAAATAAATAAGACGTGGGGGAATTTAGGAACTCTATGAACTCTTGGGGCTGAGCATCTGAATATCTGCCACGTGGGTGAAGACAGTGATGGGGGAGGGAGGTGCGAACAAGAGGATCCCAAAGAGAAGCCATTCCTTTCCTGGACACAGTCCCTGCTCCCCTCCCCCAGGTTCTTCCTTCCTTCCTGCCCCCAGATTCAGTGGGTACCCTCTGCCATGCATCCGGCCCTATTCCAGGCACTGGGGAAAAGATAGGTAAGACCTGGGCTGTGCCTCTGCGGGGGGCATCAGGCAGAGTGAAGCACGCACTGCCAACAACTCCTCTTTCAGCCTCCAAACTTCAGACTGCTTCCAAAACGAGGAAGCTGTCTTCCTTGGCCTCCTCTAAGACTATCAGATGGCTTTCAATTTCTTGCCTTGAAAGTCCTGTCTCCACTCTGAGTCCACCCCAGCCTCTTCTGTGAGGAGTCAGGAATGAAGATAATACTTAAACCAAGTGGTCATTTTTACTGTACCTCATTGGCCCCACCCCATCCCATTTCACAGATGGAGAAACTGAGGCACTGAAGTCATCTGCTCAAGGTCACTCTTCAGGAAGTAGGTAGCTGCCACTCAGATCTAAGCTGAAGAACAGTCCCTGCTGCTAGCTAGTTCACGAGAGTGCCTTTCAGGAAAAGCCGAGGAAGAGCGTGAGAAACGGGATGACGGTGTCCAGACACCACGACGGGCTGGTGGATGACAACACTTAAATGGTTGCCAGGAGATGTGGGTTCAAGACCCCGTTTTGCCTCCAACTTGATTGTGACTTTGGACAACTCATTTAACCTGTCAGGGCCTTCTTTCCTATTTGAAAATTTTGATGAGATCACCTCTAAGGTCCCTTTACTTCTTTTTTATAATTTTATTTATTTTTGGCTGTGCTGGGTCTTCATTGCTTCAAGGGCTTTTCTCTAGCTGTGGTGAGCAGAGGCTCCTCTGCAGTTGGGTTGGGGCGGCATCTCATTGCGGGGGCTCCTCTTGTTGCAGAGCAGGGGCCCTAGGGCATGAAGTGGAGAAGGCAAGGGCACCCCACCCCAGTACCCTTGCCTGGAAAACCCCATGGACGGAGGAGCCTGGTGGGCTGCAGTCCATGGGGTCCCTAAGAGTCGGACACGACTGAGCAACTTCACTTTCACTTTTCACTTTCATGCATTGGAGAAGGAAATGGCAACCCACTCCAGTGTTCCTGCCTGGAGAATCCCAGGGACAGGGGAGCCTGGTGGGCTGCAGTCTCTGGGGTCGCACAGAGTCAGACACGACTGAAGCGGCTTAGCAGCAGGGCATGAAGGCTTCAGTAGCTGCGGCACGTGGGCTCAGCAGTTGGGGCTCGCGGGCCCTGGAGCACAGGCTCAGCAGCTGTGGCACGCAGCCTTAGTTGCTCCGCAGCACGTGGGATCTTTCCAGATCAGGGATCGAACCTGTGTCGCCTGCATTGGCAGGCAGATTCTTTACCCACTGAGCCACCAGGGAAGCCTGGGCCCCTAAGGCCCTTTACTTTCACCTGACTATGAGAAACAACGAATCACAATTTTGATGGGTGCTAGTGGTCCAGAATTTTAACTTTTTAAAGCCACCAAGTAGCAAAGAGTTGGAATAGGGAGCCGGGCAAAGCCAGGCTAGAGAAAATTGAAATCATATATGGAAAGGACCCACTGGAAGTGGCCCGGCAGAGGGTGAGGAAGTGTCCTTGAATTTGGCTACTGGCCAAGGTCAGCTGGGGCTTGCTGAGCCCAGGCTGGAGCACAGAAGAGAATCTAAAACCCAACTCTGAAAAAAAAATAAAAATAAAAAAATAAATAAAATAAAAATAAAACTCAACTCTGGTAGATTAACATCCAGGCCCAGGGACGGCGGGGAGGGGGTGGGGTGGGCCAAGAAAGGACTCGAGGGACGGGGGTGCTCACCATGACGATGTTGGCCAGATGGGCAGAGACGAGCGCATACACCCCTCCAGAGGAGCCCACCACCGGGGCAGTCATGTCAGCCACAGACACTGCCAAGGACCCTGGGGCAGAGAGAGAGACGGAGAACTCAAGGATGCTGGAGTTGCTTCCCACCCCCAGTCTCAGGCGCTGGGATGCTGCAGCCTCAGGGCTGAGACTCCAGAGCAAAAGCTCCCTCTCTTCCTCCCGGGATCCCACATCACCCTGGAGCTCCCTGAAAAATTCATCTACGACCGAAAGGACCGTTTCGTTCAAACTTCTCCTTTTACAACTGGGAAGCAAAGTCTCAAGGAGAGAAGTGATTTGTCCACAGGAGAGCTCCAACCCGGATCATCTGCCTGGCGACCTGGCCTCACCGGGGGCTATCTCAGGGTTCTGAGCAATGATGAGAAAAGCGTAGCAGTTTTGCAGAAACTGCCACCGTTAGGGGGCGCTATGTGTCGGACACCTGCCAAACATTCTGGGTGACCCTCAAGCCCACTCGCTGAGGCAGGTGCTAACAGCCTCAGTGCAGAGACAGGAGGCTGAGGCCTCAGTCACCTGGCAGGAATGGCTGGAGCCAGGACGTGAGTCCAGGTCTGCCTGACACAAAACCCATGTACTCTTGGCCTCTCCAGCAGCCACTCCCTAAACTGTCAACCTCCACCCTCTACCCTTCTTTCTCCTCAATAGCACCCAGAAACCTGCCGTGCATCACCTCCAACGGAGTGAAACTACAGCAGGCCAACAGGACCTCTAGAGCTGGGCATCTTTGTAGGAAAAATGTCCTTGAGAAGTCCCGGGGAAGAGAGAAAGATGATGTCATACCCCCTGGGGGAAAGGAACGGTACAGACTCTTGGTCTGGAGGATGAGAAACTTTGGTCCTGGGAGGGAAGCTGGGCAGAGAGGAGATGGGCAATGCATTGTTCTGGTCTCATTTAAGTGTGATCAATGCTTTGGCTTCCAGGGAAGGACACAGGAGACTAAAAATAACTGGGAGTTAGAACCCAGGGCTCAGAGGATGAGAGGTGGCTGGCGGGGTGAGTGTGCAGAAATCACCACTGGAAAATGCCCGCAGGCTCCTGAGCCAATTAGTCGCTGCCTGGGTAGAGAGAGGAGGGCTAGGCAGAAGGCCAAGTTCTGCAGGCCCTACGGGGATGGAGGGTCAGCTCCTAAGGAAGAGGCTGGGGCCCACCTGGGAACCAAGGTACCTGACACCCTGGGCCTGGAGAGGTAGCAGCAATGTCATCTGCCTACTCCCCTCATCACTTGCCACTCCCACCCCAGATTGCTCTCAAGGCTCCAGGCTCACTGAGATCCTACCAAGAAGAGATTCCCCACAACAGGGTCTTCGTCTCCAGGGGGATGTCATCTCTCAAGGAAAACACAAACTGTCATGAACTAAGAACACCAGAGTCCTTCTCCCCTCCCAGGGCAACTATAAATCTTTCCTTTCCCCTTTCATGCTTGCCCTTCGGCTTTAATTAGGTATTGATCTATTGTCAGATAACTTTTTTTTTTTTTTTAACTGCTGAGCCACAGGGTCAACCCTATATAACAGGAGGGTAAAAAAAAAAAAAATCCCGCAGGCAAGCAGAGATCTGCATGACAAAGAATTCCCACGCTCCGGGCTGGGGCTGGTGGAGAAGGCTGCATTGCAGGGCTGGACAGGGCTGGCGGCCCAAGCCGCTTCTCGTTACTGTCTGGACAGAGAAAGCTCCCAGGCTGGCCTCTTTTCTCTGCGCTGAGTCCCTACAGATGGGCCCAGTTTCTACTCCTTCGGGCTCCCCGTGGGATCCATCAGGGCAGGGAGGTGGCAGGGTCCAGCCTCCACGCACTGACCTTTCCCTCACCCTATCCAGGGATGGGAGTCCTGACCCCGGGCAGGGCCACAGGTCAGTCTGGGTGGTGGCAGGATGGTCGACTGGGGGCGGGACTGGCTACTTGTGTGACCTTGGACACAGCCGCTGAATTCTTTGGGCTTCAGTTTTCAAATCTGTGAAATGAGGAGGTTAGTTCTAAGGCTGTCCAATGTTCGAGCAGTGAGACTCTCTTTTCAAAGAAAACTGTCACACCTCTATCCCACAGCTCAGAAGGCCGCTCAGGCTGAATGGGGGTGAAACATGGGGAGTAGAGTTTGCCATTCAATGAGGGGGGGACCTCCAGGGTTCCTTCCAGATCAGAAATACAATAATCCAAGCCTTGGCCGAAATCTAGGGTCTGGGGTTTGAATATTGATTTTAGAATCTAGAAGGTAATGATCTGGACCCACTTGCCCTCCATTTGTGGCAGAAAGACTTTCCTTAAATGACTGCAAATTAGTCCTGGACTATGGGCTTCCCTGGTGTCTCAGATGGTAAAGAGTCTGCCTACAATGCAGGAGGCCTGGGTTCGATCCCTGGGTCAGGAAGATCCCGTGGAAAAGGGAATAGCTACCCACTCCAGTATTCCTGCCTGGAGAGAATTCCATGGTCAGAGAAGTCTGGTGGGAGAGAATTCTATGGACAGAGGAGTCTGGTGGGCTACAGTCCATGGGGTCACAAAGAGTCACACTGGACTGCGTGACTAAAACTCTCATTTTCAGAGGGACTGGGAGAAGTCAAGTAGAAATGTGGGCTGGTATGCATATCAGCAGAGTAAAGCCATTCCAGGGTAGGAAGCCAGGGCCAGGGAAGATTCCTGACAAACCTAAGGGATGACAGTTCAATAAATGTCCAGTGTGAACCCACGGAGGTCAGGAAGGCAGAAGACAGAGAAGCAAGCCCCAGCGACAAGCCACACCTCTGCACAGCGGCAAACCAAAGGGCCAGTGCAAGTCAGGGCTATGAATTTCCACCCCCCGAAACCCTGGGTCCACGCCAGCACGGTGATGAATCGGCAACTTTGCTGTAACGCACAGCTGTGATAATGTTAGCCTGGAAAATTTAAGGCAGGTGTCCTCCAGCATCTCCCGTGGTCGCTAAAGAAAAGCAAATCCAAATAAAAATTGCCAAAACACCTATCTTTAAGCAGTATAACGTTCTTTACTCTTTCCTTTAGTGCTTGCCATGTGCCAAACCCTGTGCTAGGCTCTGGGGGTGCACCCATGGCTTCTGATCTACAGAGTTTATAATCAAAGTTGGGCAAAACAGTGAAAAGACTGGGCTATTTTTATTTTTTTGGCTGAACCACATGGCTTGCGGGATCTTAGTTCTCTGAGCAGGGATTCAACCCATGTCCCCTGCAGTGGAAGCTGAGAGTCCTAACCACTGGATTGCCAAGGAAGTCCCAAGACTGGGTGTTAAAGTATTTAAATTCATCCCTATAGTCATCAGCGAAAGTGATATACACCTTGGCTTCAAGCATTGGCTAGAGGCACAGGTTTGGGGAAGAGTTTCTACTCCAGTTCTAGGATTTCTTGGCTGAGCAAATAGGGTGATTCCAATCCTTTGAACTATAAAATGTGGGTGTCAGTATCCACTTCAGAGGAATGTGATGAAGAGCTAACACATGTGAACCCTTTATCACATGCCTGGACCATCAGACATGCTGAGCAGAGATTAGTTATAATTGTTACAAAACGTGATGGCCTTGGATTTGGAATATTTTCATCAGGCAGGAATTAGAGAGCAGGGCTTAATGTCTGTGAAGACCACCCCGCCTTGGAGGACTTCCCTGGTGGTCCAGTGGTTGAGATTTCGCCTTTCAATGCAGGGGGTGTGGGTTCGATCCCTGGTCTGGGAGCTAAGATCCCATATGCCTCAGGGCCAAAAAACCAAAACACAAAACAGAAGCAATACTGTAACAAATTCAATGAAGACTTTAAAAATGGTCCACATAAAAAAATCTTTAAAATAAAAAAAAAAAAGACCTCCCTTGGTTTCGGACAAATTCCATGCATAAAGGATAAGTCTTGCCTCTGGTTCTCGTAAAGCTAAGGTCGTGTTAGAGCACCGCCTCTGGGGTCAGACAGCCTGATCAGAGCCCAGCTCCACCACTTAATGACTGTATCTTCTTAGGCAAGTCACTTTGCTCCTCCAAGCCTTGGCTTCTGTATCTGTAACAGGTGACGCGTAATGGTACCTGCCCAGGGGGTTGTTGCGGGGATTAAATACAGCCTGCACAGGACAGGCACTTGGCTATCTGGTCAGAGCCCGCCTGTCTGAACGGGCACCCCCTCTCTGAAGAGGGAGGCACGCAGAGGAGGAGGAAAGGGTGCAGGCAGATCAATCAGCTCAGTCCTGCAGATCAATGACGTGACATGTGGTGCCCAGAAAGCCCTCTGCTCTGAATCAATGGCTCAAATAGGACAGCACACGTCGTTTGCTTTGCAGCACAGCCCCCCACCCTCGGGTTCAGCTGGCAAGCCCCCTTCTGCCTGCACACCAACCCCTTCTGCACTGGTGTCCCTGGGAAGTAATACCTGCACTGCCTCCCCGCTGGGACGTCTGGTTTGGACGAGGCCTGAGTCATCTGGAATCTGTGTTGTCTTCCACGTTACTCCGGCACTCCCACTTAATTGACTACTAACTGCAAGTGTTACGAGCACTTCCCTGTTCCTCGCCATTAACCATCTGGGTCTCTGAGTAGGTAGGTATGGAAAACGTGGCTCTGAATCCCCACATGTCGACACTTAGGGGTGTGTGGGTGGCTGAGGAAGTCTGGCACACAGAGATGCTCATCAGACCTTTGTTCAAGGATGCAGAAGGTGCTGGATTCTGGGAGAGGCTGGCATGGGCGCTGTCCAAGGTGGCCAAGTTTTCAACCTCAGCCCAGGAGTGAAGGAGAACGGCGCTGGGCCAACCTCCCAGGCTGAGGGTTTACAAATTAGCAGACCAGCCTCTCCTGGGATGGACAGGTGTGTGGGTGGGGTGGGAGGCTTCCGGAAGCTCCCCCATTCACTCCCGGGGCCCCTGCCTGCCCACTGTTTACAAGGCCGATGCTGCCCTGCTCTCCTGATGACAGCTTTAATGCCACTCAGAAAGGATTAAGATCTTACTTAAACACACACGCAAAGCTCCCTTGGGCACTGCTGTCAAGGTGAAGAGCTGAAGCAGCAAAGCTTGTAAAGAAAAAAGCCAGAAATAAAGTTGGAGACATCACCAGGGAGATTCCTCTCTTCAGAAGCCCAGTTGGTGCAGACTTCTGCAGAAATCTCCTCCGCACCCCTCACCTCACCCCAGTCCACCTCCCCTCCCACCGGGGTGGGGGACCAGGAGCTGGGACACTGTCCTCTGTCCACCTCACCCCAGTCCACGTCCCCTCCCACCAGGGCGGGGGACCAGGAGCTGGGACACTGTCCTCAAGGCCACAGTGATTACACTTATCACCTGCCATGTGGGCTGAGTCAGCCAGGGCCCAGACTCCGCCAGCTGGCACAAGTGCTCATGACCTCTTGGGCCAGACTCTCTCCTGCCCGCAGTGGGTCAATCAAGGGCTGGCCCGGGGAAGAGGCAAGACCGCCCTTCAGGTTCAGGTGGCCCCCCCCCGCCCTGGGATCTCACTACCATTGCTTTACTTCATTCTTCACCTCGCCCCGCCCTCCTCACAGCCGGCATGCATATCTCATTTTTTTGTGGTTCAGTCGCTAAGTCGTGGCCGACTCTCTGTGGCAGATCTCATTAGTTCCCTCATAAAAGCTTGACGGGGGCCAAGAGAAGGTAAGGAATTTCCCCAAGTTCACACGGCTATGACAGGGTAGTGAAAGACGGAAACCTCGGTCAGTCTGCCGGCTCCAAATCATGTACCCTGCACCCGCTTTGCCACGACGCGCCTCCCTGTCTGGGTGGCATCCCCTTCCGATCTCCCTAGGGAGGTGGGGAGAGGTATCCCGAGGAGAACCCTAGCAGTCAGGAGCCTGGGTGATGAGTGTCCGCTGGAAGCCTGGGGCCTGCCTGACGGCAAAAGTCTCATCAGCCGCTCTGCAGAGGTTCACCCCATGGACTCTGGGCCCACCTGCCTACCTGCCACGACACCGGCCACATAGACAAGCCCAATTCGGGTTGCTCCATGCACCATCTCCAGAGGTACCCCCACCAGGAGCTGGAGCACCACGTTGAGTCCCAGGTGTTCTATCCTGTATAGAGAGACCACGGTCATTCACTCAGCATGTCAAGAGGCTGGGGATCCAGCAGTGGACAAGACCCTATGGCTGAGAGCTCCCTGGTGGCTTAGTAGCTAAGAATCCTCCTGCCAATGCAGGGGACATGGGTTTGATCCCTTGTCTGGGAAGATCCCCACCTGCTGCCAGGCAGCTAACCCCGTGCGTCATAAGTACTGAAGCCTGTGCTCCTAAAGTCCACACTCCGCCACAAGAGAAGCCACTGCAATGAGAAGTCCGCACGCAGCAGTGAAGACCCAGTGCAGCAATAAATAAATACTTAAAAAGAAAAATAACTTAGTAAGTCAAAGCTATTTCCCCAGTTCCTGTTGAGTCCACATCTTAGCTCATGAGGATACCCAAGCATGAAGGGCTTCCCCCACTCTCCTCCTCAGCCCTGAAGTTGAAGCCAGGACATAGCAGGCCAGGCTGCCATCCCGTTAGGCTCAGGGTAGAGACATTCATCAGCGGCCATCAGAGAAGTCTCTTCTCCACAAAGCAGCCTCCCCAGCAGGTGCAGCCAGTTGCGGGAGGCTCTGTGGCCCCTTTAGCAGCTCAGCAGGAGCAGAGGTTCACAGTGGAGCTTCCTTGTGGCCACTGTGGGTCATTCTCCCAAGGGAAGAGCCGTGAGGGCCTGGGTAATCTTCTTCCCACTGGCATCCCCAGGGACAGGCACCCTCAGGGCTTTTCCACGCTTTCCCTCCACTTCTCTAGAGTCTGTAGAAGACACTGCAGAGGTCTGGGGTCCAGGGACTCTGACTTTCCAACTCCATGCTTCTACTATGTAAAAACTGTCTCCAGCTAAGACCATGCATTCAAGAGACTTGGACCTGGGTGGTCACCTGGCCAGCTAGGAGGTCCTTATCATGGGGTAAGATGCACCCATGAGAACTGGTGGCACTCCAGGTCCCAAAAGAGGTCACACGGCTCTGTAAACAGAAATGTAACATTGCCAGAGTTCCTCCAGAAGACTCATGTCACCATATAGGTAGACCTCCTTTCCACAAACCGGTGCTTTATTTCACTTATAGGGGCACTCACCCCTAGTTTATGGACAATGAACCTGGTGGCTGACCACATTTCCCTCTTTGCTTTGGCCACCAGGAAGCTCAGAATAAATTTGTAACCTACTTACAGCAAATATATAGATTCACATGCTGTATGTGTGTGCTGATCTCACTTTGCTTTCCCTTTCCCATACACTCTTTTTTTGAAACTGTACAGTTTATATACACATATAAGTTTATTTATTTTTGGCTGCACTGGGTCCTCATTGCTTTGTGCGGGCTTTCTCTACTTTCAGCAAGCGGGAGCTACTCTTCGTTGAGGGGTTCAGGCTTCTCATTGCAGTAGCTTCTCTTGTGGCAAAGCACAGGATCTAGGCGCATGGGCTTCAGTAGTTGTGGTGCACGAGCTTAGCTGCTCCGTGGCATGTGGAATCTTCCCCACCAAACTCGTGTCCCCTGCACTGGCAAGAGGATTCATATCCACTGCACCTCTAGGGAAGTCCCCTAAACTGAACATGGCATGCTCACAGCTATGCACAAACATCACCACCACCAACTGTAAAACATTTTCATCTCCCATACACTCCTAATAATTTACACATACAATTTGGTATTAGATAAGTTTTAAGAAGCCATCTCAAATCCTGTGGCCAGGTAGACAAAAAATAAACTTAAAAAATACATCTCGATCCAGGCTCTCTGGACCAGTTATCTTTCTGCAAGGATTCTCGATAGAGAAAGAACACCAGTACTCACCCCGCATGCATGAATATGTATGTCAGGTAACGCCAAGCCTGTGCTCGGAGCTGTGGATGGTAAACCAGTGAGTTCTTCAGGTATCGTGGGTGGGTTACCTGCAGTACAAATTGGCCCAGCGACACCCCATTATAAAGGAAAAAGGCAACCTGGAGGAGAGCAGAGAGTACAGAGAGGCTGTTACTAGGCGGGAAACTGCCAGGAAGCCCTCCTGTGCCCATTATCACGTGGAATCTCTAGGGAAGTTGCCATCTGTCCTTCTCACACCCCTATGACCAGCACCCAAGCTAGCTCTCCACCACCTCTCACTCCACTTCTGTTCATTCTGTGTTCAGTGTTCACAAAATGGTCTCAAGGTCTCTGCCCACATTTCCTCGGTGCTAAGCTGAAAGGGTTTGGAGGATTTTAAACTTTAATTCCAGTAATAACTCACATACCCACTGGGCTGAGGCAATGCCATATAAGTTGATTTCAAAAAAAAAAGAAAAACTGTGGCAAAGCCATGTAACATAAAATTTACCATCTTAACCATGTTAAGTGTGGAGTTCAGGGGTATTAAATATATTCATAATGGGCAACCATCACCACTATCCATTCACAGGATTCTTTTCATCTTGTAAAAGTGATGAGAGAAACTCTATATCCATGAAACATTAATTTCCATTCCCTGCCCCCCAGCCCCTGGCAACCACCATTCTGCTTTCTGTCTCTATGAACGCGACTACTCCAGGGACTGTGTGGAAGTGGAATCACACAGCGTTTGTCTTTTGTGACTGGTTTATTTCATTCGGCATAATGTCATCAAGATATATCCATGTTGTAACATATGTCAAAATCTCCTTCCTCATATTCCACTGTATGTATCTACCGAATTGTGTTTCTCCATTCATCTGTCGATGGATGCTTGGGTTGCTTTCACCTTTTAGCTTTTGTGAACAATGCTGCTATGAACATGGGTGTATAAATACCTGAGTCCCTACTTTCAATTCTTTTGGGTATACACCCAGAAGTGGAGTTGAAGGATTGTATGATAATTCTGATTTAATTTTCTGAGGAACTGCCATACTGTTTCCCACAATGGCTATACCACTTTACATTCCCACCAACAGCACACAAGGTTTCAATTTCTCTGAATTCTCATCAACACCTCGGGTAAGTTAATTTGTGAAGATGACTGAAGCATACTTGTTTAAGCCCTAGAAGAGTGTTTATTTTAACTATTTCTCCCTGGAACTCTTTCTACATGCATAATTCATGTCCCTAGGTTCTTAATTTTAAGGATGCCTCAGGTATTGATCTGGGCTATAGGAGCAATGTCTTCCCCAGCAATTGATGGGGGTTTCGCTCCTGTACTAAATGATCCCAAATTCTTGTGTTTCTTTGTGACTCAGGTTTGCTTGGACATCTTCTTCTGTCCTCTCTTGCCATGCCTGGGTGTCAGCAAGTTGTGAACCAGTTACCACAACCAGGTTCTTACTTCCTCTTGTTGGCAGGGAGGAGGCCCTCTTCCAGTAGCTTCCTATTATGTTCACTGTTATGGAATCAGAAAGTTAGGTTACTGGAACTTGATGTGAAACAAAAGGCTTGGACTTGGTATAAGGACTCTGAAAGAGTTATTTCATCATTTTCTAGTTTCTTCTAGATTGGCGGCTCGAGTTTACATAGCTGAGGTTTCGGAAAATTGGAAACCAATCTGGACAAAAGATCGAGCTCCTCTGTACGACCCTGGGCAAATTGTTTTAATTCACTGGTCCTCCATTTCTCTGAGGCTTCCCAGGTGGCAGAGCAGTAAAGGACCCCCCTGTAATGCAGGAGATGTGGGTTTGATCCCTGGGTTGGGAAGATCCCCTGAAGTAGGAAATGGCAACCCATTCCAGTATTCTTGCCTGGAAAATCCCATGGATAGAGGAGCCTGGCAGGCTACAGTCCATGGGGTTGCAAACAGTCAGACTGAGCACATACGTGGTTTTCCCATTTGGAAATGGGAATACTCATGCCTACATTTCCATGGTGACTGTGAGGTTTAAAAATGATAAACTATAAAATATTTTTTTAAAAGGTGGGCTTCCCACCAGGGGCTCCCCTGGTGGTCCAGTGGCTAAGAATCCACCATGCAATGCAGGGGACCTGGTTCTATCCCTGGTCTGGGGAATTAAGATCCCACACACTGTGGGCAACTAAGCCTGCACACTGCAACCAAGACCCGATCTCTCTCTGCGTGCTCAGTCGTGTCCAACTCTTTGCGACCCCATGGACCGTAGCCTGCCAGGCTCCTCTGTCCATGGGATTCAGCATGGATTCCCCAAGCTAGAATGGGATTCTCCAAGCTAGAATACTAGCATGGTTGCCATTTCCTACTCCAGGGGAGCCTTCTCTTGAGGGATTGAACCCACATCTCATGTTTCCTGCATAGGCAGGCAGGTTCTTTACCACTAGTGCCACCTGGGAAGCCCTAAGACCCGATGTGGTCAAAATAAATAAATAACTTTTTTTTCTTAAAAGATAAAGTACACGAAGAGCCAGCCCTGTGAGCAGCATCAGCTGAGGGAAGGCAGCTGTAATTAGCTTGGGGTTAAGTCCTCCTGGGCTAAGCCTGGGAATGGCTCAGGGCTCCTGGCAGCTGGACTCCCTGGGAGCCGAATCTGTTCACCTAACACCATGCGTGCGGGTGGCCTGGCAGCAAACACAGCTTGCAAGCCAACTCGTTATTATTGGTCCTCAAATAGAAGTTAATAAATAGACCAACACAGTAAGCGCTTGGAGAACAAGTCCAAGAATATCTCAGAAAAATCGCAACTTCAACATGTACTTGGAGGAAGACAAATAACAAACCGAGGAGCTCTGGTCGGCAGTCCAGATATTCTGATTTAAGAAAGGAAGAAGCAGGACGCCATGAGGCTTAATGATCCTGCAGTTTGATTCAGCAGGAATTTTACAAGAACGTTCGCAGGGGCGGTAATTAGGCCCCTAGCTCTAGAAGAGAAATGGTGGAGATTATAAAATGCCAAAAGGAAGCCAAGCATCAGTTTGAGAGCTAGCATTTGAGGTGGGGGCCCGCAGGTTCTGGGGCCAAAGAGCCGTAAGAATTAGAGTCCTGCATACAGGAACGCTGATTCAGAAAGTGGTACTTTGGATCGTGTTGCATAAGATGAGACTTTTAGAATTACAATAGGTAAGGATGGTTCCCTAAGGGGAGAATGTTCCTGCAAAATATGTGAAGCCCACATTTACCTGTTCATAAACACTCCTTCCCATATGTATTGATGTAATGCTCTTGTGCTCAGAAAACACCACCAGCCATTCTCTGGCTCTAAACAGAGGAGAGGAGTGGGAGAAGGAGGGCAAGTCTGGTTATTCCCAATTTCCAGGTGGAAGATGGAGTCCGGGGGGAACAAACGACCCATCCACGAGGCTCACTCCACTCGCTCTGGGAGGAACTAACAGAAGTTGCTTTAATGAGTTCGCCTGGTGAAATGCCCCCAATCAATGACCTGACACTGTTCTTGTTGCTGTTGGTTTGGGCGGGGGAGGAGGGTCATATAGGGGTTTTGTTGCAGTGCATATGATTTCAAGTCATGATCTTTGTAATATCTCTGTGGCCCAGGGGTTATAATACCTGCATGCCCTGTACCAGGGCCTGACCTGCCATGACAACTGCCATTTGATCCTCAACCATCACCTTTCGGTGGTGAAGGTGCTGCCCTTCCCCTTGTGATCTCAGATATCCTCCTGGAACTTCCCTGGAGGTTCTAATTGTTAGGATTCTATGCTTCCACTGCAGGGGGTACAGGTTCCATCCCTGATTGGGGAACTAAGATCCCACACGTCACATGGTGCGGGGGAAACAAAATGATATCCTTTGACCCTCCAGCAGCCCCTTCACCACCCCTGTCCTTGCCTCTAGCAGTGTGACCGTGATCATGAACCAGGGCGGGGGGCAGCAGGTATAACTGTCGTAGTACCACTTCCGGTCAATTTCCCGGGGCAGGGTCTCGTAGGCCACGTGACGGATGAGTCGCTGGGAGAGGTTCAGCCCCTTCTCCTCCAGCAGGGCCTTGCTGCAGAGCCTGCGGTTCCCCTGCAGGATGGCCTGGCGAAAACTGTTGGACCGCTTGTTGCTCATCTACATGGGAAACAGGGTGGGGGAGGGGGGTCAGAACCAGGGTCTCAGGGGAACCCCATCCCATTTCCCAGCCAGCCAGTTCCTTAGACCGTTCAGGCCTGAGGCCACCTTCCTCTTTCTTCTGTATAGCTTGCAAGGAGTTAAATGTAAGTTAGCAAGAAGCAATATTCACCAAGCTCTTCTGTGTCAGGGGCTGTTCTAAGCACATCACAGCTCAGCTCATTTGATGCAACTAGTCTACCTGCTAGATAAAGACCATGAATATCCCCATCCCACCAGATGAGGAGCCCAAAGCGTAGAGAGTTCTAAGAATCCATCAAGTCCAAACCCAGTAAGGCTCCAGAGCCTGGATTCTTATCCACGATACCTCCTCCCACCCACCAGCCTGTCATCCCTCACAACTTCCTGAGCAACTATTAAGAGTCAGGTGTTGCCAGACACTGCAATACAGAGGTGTCAAAGGCCAACAAGTGAAAGTGAAGCAAGTGTGAAAGTGTTAGTCACTCAGTCATGTCCAACTTCTTGGGACTGCGTGAACTGGAGCCCACCAGGCTCCTCTGTCCATGGAATTCTCCAGGCAAGAATACTGGAGTGGGTAGCCATTCCCTTCTCCAGGGGATCTTCCCAACCCAGGGATGGAAGCCGGGTCTCCTGCATTGCAGGCAGATTCTTTACTGTCTGAGCCACCTAAGTAACCAGCAATCATGGTTCACAGTGAAGCCTGCTGTGGGAGCACACAGGAGGGAGGCCCAACCCGGTTCCAAGGTGATCAGGGAGGACTTCCTGGAGGAGGTGGCACGAGTGAGAGCTGCAGGACAAGTAGGAGTCAGCATCCCCAGCCCCTGGAACCAGAACCCAAAGCTGTGCTTGTGGAAGGTCATCAGTCCTGAGTGACCCCAAAGGAACTGTGATACTCAGGGAGCCCCAGGACAGGCCCCTCCCCCACAGAGCCCTGGCAGCCTGACTCCCAGAGGCAGACCTGCTGACTTCCAGCCTCCAGAGGCCTCTGCTACCTCCCACACACTCTCCCCGACCACACTCTAGACCCTCCATACAGGGATATATTCTAGAGACACAGCTCTCCCAACCAGAGTCCACAGTGCTGCCAAGGGGCTGCCCCATGGTCGCTGGGTAGGGATTATCAGTGTATTTCTGGGACTGTGGGCCCAGCAGTGGACATCAGGCTAAACCCAAAGGCAGGAGTCCAGGCAGGGCTGCAGAGGGGAACCAGCCAAAGGCATAGGGGTTTGAAGCCCTGTGGGGGGCAGGGAGCTGGGGAGGATCTGGGTTCAGACCAGGTCAGGACGAATGAGTCTCTATCAGCAGTGCCCATACCCTCTCCTGGGTTCTGCACACACCTGAAAAATCTGGCTTAAGGCTCCCCCCTCTAGCAGGCCTTCCCAGATGAACCCCTTCCAACAATTCCCTATTCCCATCCCCTCCATGCCTGCAAAGCTTGGGCCTGGTTTTCAGTGGCTTCAGCTCTGTAAATTCAGGCAGGGCTCAGGGCTCTGCGTTCACTGCAAGCGCAAGACAAGACCATGTGATCAAATCAGTTTGTAGCCATCCTCTCCCCCAATCTCCAGGTGTGTACACGCACTCACAAACACACAGCTGCAAGACTCATGGTGGGGAGGAGCTCAGCGTGAGTATGGCAGAAGCAGGGCATGCACACACACACACTCAGCATTCACCTCTGCCCTGATGTGCCTAGAACTGTGCTGGGCACAGTAGTGGCCATGGTCTCTGGCCTCACGGAGCTTACAGGAGAGACAGAGGTGTAAACAGCAGCAAAAGATGATGTCTCCTTTGTTATCCGGTGCATTGTGTTATCCCGGTGATATAAAGGTGGAGATGGGAGCTTGGAGAGTAATTTTCCTTGGAAAGTAATTTTCTCAAGGATCCATAGTTAGCAAATCATGGAGTCAGGATTCAGATTCAGATCTGCCTGACTCTGGGGCCCATGCTGGCCCATATAGTGCTTTCATGCCAGTTAGATAAGGGAGCCTCTTCTTCCAGGTGGATGCACCCTTTCCAGGCCTTGCTGAACAAAGCCCAGGCCAGATTTCAGTCCTCATTAATCTCTCTGTCTGGCATCCTTATACAGTCCACAACCTGTACATCCATACATGACAACCCTGACCACTCAGCTGTAATGCAGTGTGGTCTGTGTTAGAAGAAAGGCTTGCACAAAGCACTGTGCGGGCTCAGGATAAGGTTAGTTCGTTCTGCCTGGGTTGGCGTGGGAAAAGGCTCACAAAAGATGCCAAGGAGTTAACCGGGTGGAAGAACATTAAGAGGCAACAAAAACTTTCAAACATTTCCTCTTATTTAATCCTTGCCACCATCCTGAAGAGGCTTCCGAGGTGGCTCGGTGGTAAAGAGCGTGCCTGCCGATGCAGGAGATACAGGTTTGATCCCTGAGTCAAGAAGATCAACCAGAGAAGGAAATGGCAACCCACTCCAGTATTCTTGCCTGGGGAATCCCACGGACAGAGAAGCCTGGCAGGCTACAGTCCATGGGATCGCAAAGAGTCGGACACGACTTAGTGACTAAACACCACCACCACCCTGAAAAAGGTTTCCTTTGGCTTCATTTTACAAATGGGCTCAGAGAATCTTTCCCACTGAGTGGCAAAGGCAAAGCATTAAGCAGGACCCAGGTCCGCTCCAGGCCCCGGGCTCTCTGCCCTTCCCAGAACCTCGTTCCCGGTGAGCCCCTTCTTAGGCCTGGCCTCGAGGGCAGCCTTGCTCACAGGCATCCAGGCTCTGGCTGGCCAGTCCAGCTCAGAACTCGAACAGAGAAATCTTGATGGCAACAAGCAACCTGCTGTTGCGAATTCACACAGAAGATTTCCCGAACCCCCAGCTGGAGAGAAGCCGCTCACTGGCCCCGCCATGCCCTCGCTCCGTCCCGGCTGAGCAGAGCACGTGTCGAACATGCTAGTGCTGGGCCTGCGGAGGGGCCATGAGCTCAAACCTGTGACCTGATCTTTGCTGGCACTGCTGGGTTCCTAGCCACGCAACTCACCTCCATGACCCATCCCGTGAATCCCAAATGTCCCCAAATTCCCTGCTTAATTGAGCTCTGCCTCCCACCCTCTAAAAGGTCTGCTCCCTGGGTCCAATCTGAACAGCAGATTACTTCATCCCTAAAAGCCTTACAGCTTCTGGCTGCCATCTGCTAATCTCTGGATGAAGACAGGTCCCCAATCAAGAGGCAATTAAAGCAACACCAAAGCCCGCACATCAGAGCGTGGCCATGGCACGATGGCAGGTCCTGGCTCCCCCATCACTGACGCCTCTGAATTCCAGGAGCCTGGGTGTTCATGAACTGACTGTTCACACCAGTCATTTAGTTCATGGATGACAAGAAGAGAGGTGACTCTTCCATTCCACCAAGAGGGAAACTGCATGGAATCTCGCAGCCTTGTGTTCATCCTGCTAGTTCATTGCGGCTTCTGCTCACGTCTCCTCCACCCACTCAGCCCCACTGAACTCCATTCCAATCCTGCCACTGTAGCCCTGAAACAGCACAGCAGTGACCCTAGTGAGGAGGAAGTCCTGACTCCAAGACACCAGACCACTGGGCAGGATTCACGGGCCTCCTGTCTCCAGCCCCTTCTATCACCTAGAAGCCTGGAGTTTTTCAATGCTGAAGACCCACCAATCCCAGTAATTAATTATCCAAAAGGGCCCTCTAAGCCATACCCCCAAACAGGCCACTCCCAGTGGCGAGGGACCCAGAGTGCTCACCAGGTTGACAAAATCCTGGTAGCAGATCTGGCCGTTGGCATGGCTGTCGGCGAGAGCCAGGAGTACCTCCCTCTTGTGTGGGTCCAGCTTGGAACTGTGGCTGTCCAGGAGGCTCCGGAACTTGCCTGTACTGATGAAGCCTGTGTTCCCAGGGTCACACTGAGGGAGAGATACACACAGCAGCAGGGTCAGCGGGGCTCCGTCCCCCGCTCTGCGCGGCCCCAGGTGCTCCATCACTGCCACCACTCACGGCTTTCGTCCTCAACCCCCTGCTGACGGAGGACCAGAGGGCATCTGGACTGTTCCCAAGGCCCCCAGGGGAAACATCCAAATGGGGCAGACGACCACGAACAACCCTAGAAGGCCCTGGAGACCTCTGAGATCACCCAAACCAACCACCTGATGCACAGAGAAGGGGAACGGAGGCTCAGAGAGGTGACTCTCTGCCCTACTTCTGACCCAGGACAGTGGAAAATGGGACTGAAAAGGCGATGAGTAGAGGAAGAAATCTGGAGCCTGGGCTGGAGGGGCTGAGCGGGCAAAGGCGAGAGGCCTTGGGCAGTGGGGAGCACAGCCTGGAAGGCCCCTCCGCATCTGCCTGCCAGCCCTTCTCCCACACCCAGACCACATGCACACCACACCCTACACACCGGGCTCCCCAAAGACCCTGTGCTCTGAATGTCTGGTCGGGTTTCTGATGCTGCCCTTTTGCCCTCTGCAGCTTTTTAAAACTTTACTACAACTTCTTTTTAAATGTTTTTATTTTTTGGCCACACCATGCAGCATAGGGGATCTTAGTTCCCCAGCCAGGGGTTGAACCCCTGCCCCCTGCATTTGAAGCTTGGAGTGTTAACCAAGCTTAGGACTCCAAGGTCCTTAAGACCTTAACCAAGGTCCAACTTAACTGGACCGCCAGGGAAGTCCCTGCCTTCTGTAGCTTTGCACAAGTGGGTACCTCTGCCGAGGATTCCTCCTCATCCCTCAACTCCCTGGGAGACTCGGGTTCACCCTTCCAACTCCTCAGATGTCCTGTGTCCAGCAAGCCTTCCCCCAACACACGATCTGCTTCCCTGGAACCTCCAACAGTCCTCCAGCCCCCACCCCACTATCTATTTTCAACTCCTCTCTGGACACCGGTTCCTTGAAGGCTGGCATCACAACTTATCCCCAGGGCTCAGCACAGAGGTTGGCATAGTTCGACACTCGCTGAAGATCTGTTGGCTGAATAAGTGGATGTCTGGGTGAAAAGATGGGCACTCGTTTTCCAAGGAACGGCTCAGGGGTTCCGTTAGAAAAGGGGCTGGGACTTCCCTGGCGGACCAGTGGTTCAAGACTCTGCTTATACTGCAGGGGGCGCAGGTTCAATCCCTGGTAGGGAAGCTAATATCCCGCGTACCACTCAGAGTGGCCGAAAGACAAGAAAAGGAATAGAAGAGGGGCTTATTCGTCTCCCCCAGAGAAGCCCGTGACCCTCCGGTCCCCCTTTCACTGCCCCTTCTCTTTCCCCACAGAACACACCCAGCATCCCCACTCAGCACACACTAACTGGCTTTACAGACACCCAGAGCAGTTCCTGATCACAAACTGTCCCCACATGAACTCACTGCACTTGGAGATGCTGCTGCAGGTTACTTCGATTTTAACAGGCAAACAGGGACTTCCCTGGTGGTCCAGTGGCTAAGACTGTGCTCCCAATACAAGGGGCCCCAGGTTCAATCCCTGACCAGGGAACTAGATGCTACAGGCTGCAACTAAAGAACCCACAGAATGCAACTCAGACTCAGCAGAGCCAAATAAATAAAATATATATATTTTTAAAAAGGCATTTAAAAAATGAGCAAACAGACATTTCAGACATCTGCACGTGCATGACAGGGAGCCCGGAAAATCAAACCCACTTTTCCGCCTTTCCTGTATAAGGTCAGTGAAGACTATTTTTGGAAACGTTGATTCTGTGTGCAGCCTCTCTAAGACAACCCAGGAGATATGACTCCTTCAATCCTCCCCAGAACTCAATGAGAGGGGACATCTCGAAGGAGGCCTATTGAAAAGTCTGCACTTGTTCCCCACCCTCCACCCAAAATAACAGATTTCAGGGATGACACTTCTTTAGGTCCCACCAAGGAGTATTGCAGGAAACTCACCTCCACCCTGCTCCAGAAAGATCTCTATGAGCAAAAACACCTACTATTTGCTGAGCATTTTTATGGGGCTAAACACCATTCCAAGCATCTCATGTATATGATTTATTTAACCTCCTACCACAACCTTACGAGTATGTCGTATAATTATCTCCATATTGAAACGGGAGGGAAGAGGGCAGGGCACAGCCTTTAAGAGAATGACATAGCCAGACGAGACGACATAAACTGATGAGAACTAAATGACTTTGAGACGGCCGATGAGCTGACGTCCACTAGACCTTGAGCCTCAGGACACACTCACTGTACCAGGTCACAAGCTAAGTGACACACCCACAGGCAGCATGACGGCTCCAAGGCTGACTGTCAGAGACCGAAAGGTGGCCGGTGGCCCAGTTCCTGGACATCTCCACCCTTTGCCCCAAGTAGTTGGGCTAATCCTTCCACGCGTTAGCCTGTGAAATTAGCCAGCCCGTAAAAAGTAAACCCACTCTATTTTGATGCCACTCCCACCTCCTGAGATGGCCCACACTCTTGTCCGTGGACTGTGTTTCTCTCTAAATAAATCCACTTCTTACCTATCAGTTGGCCTCTCACTGGATTCTTTCTGTCATGAGACGTCAAGAGCCTGAGCTTCATTAAGTCCTGAAAGCAGGTGTGGGATCTCACCTGCTGGGTGGGCTCGAGTCCGGGGACATGGGTTCCAGTCCCAATCTGAGTTACATGGTTTCAATCTCACAGATGAGGAAGTGAAGACTCGGGAAGATGAGCGCAGAGAGGTTAAGTGACATGACTGCAAGCCACAGAGCCGAAGACCCCAGAATCCCAGGCCCGGACAGCCCAGCCATCACCACTGGCTGCAGCTGCCCTCAGCCTTCAGAGCCGGCTCTGCTGCTCAGAGGCAAATGTGAGGATCAAAGAGGTGAACGCAAAGCCCGGAAAGGAGGGGCTCCAGGAGCCTCCGGGTCCCCTCTAAACAGATTTTTAAAGCAGGAAAGCGCTCACACTGCAACAGCTCTGATCTTACAGCTCAGGCAGGAAGTGATGCCTGCGGTGGCCAAGTGGCAACGGCAGCAGCTGGGGCGGGGGTCTCCCCCTCTGCCTGGGCCCCAACCCTCCCCTCCCCAGGCTGGCATGGGGCGACAGGGACTCACCAGCCTGGCCCTGCCTGCTTCCCTGTGGCCCTCGTCCTGGGTGGGCTGATGGGGGTTGGGGTGGGGGGGCTCCAAGCAGGGGGTGTTCAGAAGCAGCCCTGAATCCTGGGGACATTCACCCTTCCCCACCCCTCCCCTGGTGAGCACCGCAGGGGACACCTCCTGCATCAGCCTGGGGTGGGGGGGAAGACAGTCCTTCCCGGGGGGCCCATCCAAGGCTCTCCCGAGGGATGGGGTGAAGGGGCTGGGGTCAGGCAAGGGCCCCTCTCCTTCATTCCGGCTCCAGACAAAGAACCACCTGCTCCCCTGGTCTCCCCCCGCCCCACTCCCCAGGCTCCCTGCCGTCGCCCCAGTGACAGGGGCTGCCCTGTGGCTTCTGCCCCATCCCCCAACCCCGCCCTCCCCGCCCCCCCCCCATCAGTTCTGCCCCCAGCACGCTGGAGAGAAGGAGCTGGAAGCTGGCCGAGCTTCCCCTTCTCTGCCAAAACTCTACCTTTCCTGCCAGGGCCAGACAGGCCAGACAATGCGGGGTCACGGCTACCCTAATAATGAGGCCTCAGGGATGAAGGAGGGTGCCTGGGGGGAGGCAGAGGCAGGGAGGGGGCCAGCTGCCCGGGCCCACGGGAATGGACACAGGACACCTTCCAACCACCACCCCCGACACCTCGGAAGAGGAGGGCGAGAGCACAGGCTGACGGAGGGCATGGATGGGGCAGGGGGAGCCGGGGAACAAAGGGAGCGAGTGAGGGGCAGCCAGAAAGAAACAGAGAGAGAGGACTCATGCAGAAGGCGGACAGAGGTGGACACCACTGCCCGGGAGGATGCTGAGAGCTTCTAAAGGAGGCTGCGACGAACAAGGCAAAATCCCACTCTTGCCTCGGCCACTGAGCAGTTTGCGTAATTTCAGTTAATCATCTCGACCCATAATTGCCTCGGCCAAACTTATCAAGCAGAGCGAGCCTCCCCGCAGGGGAGTGGACTGAAGCAAACGCAGGGCTGGGCTCTCCAGGGTCCAGGGTCGCCCAGACTCAGTGTCCAGCTCCACTGGCCTCATTCAAAGGAAGGGACAGCAGCCATGTTACGGAGGCTTGGCTGACCCTCCTGGACACAACTCCCACCCTGGGTCTCCTCAAGGGCAGCGATGGGGACAGGATCATATGAGCACCGTGGTTTGGAGCTTTGGGGGAGACAAACCCTATCAATGTAGTTTCCGGGACTTCCTCGGCAGTCCAGTGGTTATGACTCCTTGCGGCCAATGCAAGGGGCGGGGGTTCAATCCCTGGTAGGGGAACTAAGATCCCACAGAATACACGGCCAAAAACAAACACACCAACAAACTAATGCAATTGCATTTCCTCATCAATAACGTACCGAACGGGGCTCCCTGGCGGCTCAGTGGTAAAGAATCTGCCTGCCAATGCAGGAGAGGCAGGTTGGAACCTTGGGTTGGGAAGATCCCCTGGAGGAGGAAATGGCAACCCACTCCAGTATTCTTGCCTCACTCAAATTCTGGGGAATCCCATGGACAGAGGAGCATGAGGGGCTACGGTCCATGGGGTCACGAAAGAGTCAGACATGACAGAGTGACTAAGCACACACGGGATGTACTGAAGGCCCCAAAGCTCCAGGCCCCGGGAGCTCCAAGCCCAGATTCACCCACTTTGGGTGAGGCGGGGTGGGGCGGGGCACTCTCAGGGTGAGGTCTAGGCTGGGTGGGCTGGAGACAGCCTGACTGGGGCTGGTCTGAGGGTGGCGGGGCTGTGAACAGGCCCCAGGCAGGGGGCCCCCTGGGAGTCAGAAGCTGGGAGCACCCTCGCAGCTGCCTCCTGGATAGGCCCGGCTGTGGAGGTGGGTGAAGGGGAAG